CAAAATCTTAAAAAGAGAAATGGATAGTATTCAGAAGACTATCTCAGAGAGAAGGTTTAAAGGCTTTTTTTATAAAGGTTTTGATTAATCATCATTTTTTAAGTTTAAACAAATTTTTCCTTGGCATAAGAAAATTATGTGTAGTGTGATGAATAGTGATTAAGATAATGTTGCTGAATGTTGAGTAATAGGGTCTGAGAATGTTGAATAAAAGAGCAATGGGGAATGCAATTGAATAAATGAATTTGGATATTTGATTTCCATGCTGAAAACAAGTTTGTTTGAAAAAAACCTGACCAGCAAATTCAACCTGAATTTGAACCGCATTTGACCGAATGGAATTAGGAGTCGTACTAGAAGAGTTTATTTGTTCCTCTATATTTTAGCCTGTCCCATATGAAGCATTGGAAATCACCTAAATTGGACTATATAAATTGGAAAGATAATGCCCCAAAATAGTACAAACTGTGCAGGCTGGAAATCAACAATCTGGGCGGACGGGAGGTGCCTACCTTAAGCTCAATATTTGAACCTGACTTTATTACATTGTTGTATAAGAACTGATATTGTATTGATATATTATCTGGTAGCGCTGACTATAACAGGGATGTGTTATGCTAACCATATAATTTAGAATCACTAAATTGGCCTTATAAATTGAGAGATATGACCAAAATGGGTACAAACTTGTGGCAGGCCGGCAAAACCAACAGCTGGGCAGACCTGGTAAGTTGCTTACTTTAATTCATATTTGACTACTTTACTAATATATTTCAGAGAGGTGATAGAACGACATATTTGTCCTAAATGTGTTTAGATAACCATGAGAAAATTTGAATGCAACCTTGAAGGATATCGGTCGCTTATATATAGAGAAGATAATAATAGACCAAATGGTACAGACTATGCAGGCCTGGAAAGCCGACACAGCTGGATAGAAACTAGAGGCAGGTCTCGCCTGATTAAGAGAGGAGTTAATCTATGATTTACCAAACCATATTTTAAGAGCAGTGTGGATAGAATACATATTTTACCGACGAGGAAGTGTTGTTTAGCTAACCTTATAGTTATCTGATCTGTTTAATGTATATTATGACCGGAGAAATTGGGGAGCGCTATGAGGAAGGAAAGTATTATGGCTAGAAGACTTGTGAAACATGTACACGCAGTCGTAAGGCCTGAGGCATAGAGGTTATTAGGCTACATTAGAAATGGATGGTTGATATGCAGTATACTAAGATTATTGATTAAACCCTAAGATTGAAGACTTTATATGTTTGCTTGATATGGTTCTTCTGAGATATATAAGCTCACGTAAGGCAGGGCACGTATGTATAAGTTGGCAACGAGGCAGAACAGCTTATTGTATATATTCCTCTGACACATATCGCACAGTTCCTTTTAACAGATTATCAAAAATTGTTTGCATTATTACTCATGTCGGTATTATTCTAGTTGGTCTATGAAATTCCTTTGAAAGCATGAAACAGCTTAGAGACGTAATAGAATTGAGAACCAGCATATAGATAAACCAGAATGGTTTTATGCATTTTATGAAAATAATTATAGATAACATGCTCCATTGAGGTTAGGTAGAACCACGTAGAATAGCGCTATGTCGCGGACATAAGGATAGCGATTTGTGTCCCCATACAGTTTGGTAGCTGGCTGTTACAGGCCTTGAGTGGTATCGATTTATATATGGATCATAGCAGCCCAGCCATACAGTATTACCATCCAGTTTCATACAGTCTTTCTTAAATCAAACTTTCGATTTCACACTGTACCTTATACATGGAAGCCCATACAGTTATGAAAAATTGTTGTTATTTTATAAATTATTCGATGTTTATAAAAAATTGCATAATTCATACAGCATAATGAACAGCAGGTAAGACCCAATGAAAGTATAATTGATATAATGTGCTATACATGCTTAGTTGATTTTAAATTCTTTATTAAGTTGAGATAATCCACGTGAGCTTTAATTGCTCAGCGAGTCACCTGTTTTAAAGACTTCGGCAGGTTTTTGGGTCTGGACGCGTAGAGAGTCATTTTAAACAACTGCTGGCAGTTCATCTTTTGAAAGGCCCAGTCTTCAGGGTAACTACTCATTTTGATATTTTGGTTTCTGTGGCATGTACAGGGGCACATAATTGGGCCATTTTTTCTTTTGGAAAATAGTGGTAATGTCCTTGTACCATATTAATAAAATGTCTGTATATAAATGATGTTATAAAGCAAACAGCAATGGATATAATATTCTAGCATACAGGATGCATATCAGCAGAACAGGATCACTAAGGTTCACCAGATTGGTAAGCGTCTCTGCTCGATTCATTGCGGGTTCACGGTGACCCGAGAAAGGGATATTTCACTAGATCATCAGGCGCCACAACAGGAGGCCACCCTTGCGGGCTACCCATCAAAATCCAGATTATCATGTGCGCCCCCAATAAAGAGGCCACACTGTTGGTTTCCATAATAATCCGTGTCATCAGGTGCAACACGGGGGGCGACGATCTCCCCCATACATGGCCGAAATGGTATTGGAACCCCTCACAAACCCATGGTGACCCACTTCAATCCCAACTCCACCAAACAAAGCATACATTATCACAATCAAATAATTAATCAAGCACTACAATTAAATATAGCATAAACAAACAAGTAAATATCATGATGGCAAGTGCACAATTAGACATTTACATTTCCCAAAAATTTCAACAAAATTTTAAAAATTAAAAAAGGGGAAGTTTACGTAAAAAATTTTTTTTTAACAAATAAAAAAGATGAAAAAAATTTAATATTAAATTGATTCTTGGAATAAATAAAATAATAATAAAAATAGGGAACTTTATTTGTATATATCAAGTTCCACGAATTAATCTAAATAAACCTGTTAACTTAATTATTAATTATGAGTAGTTTAGATTCTATCAAAATTTCCAGCAGAACCTTCCCCTAGAAATTTGAACTATAAACCACAAATTCAACAATATAATATAAAGCCCATCCGTCACGGCAATTCACATCAAACTCATCCTGATCTGCCATAAAATCTAATTTTAATCAATCATTCGATGATTACTCCAATTCACTACAGCCCATTCATCAGGCAGTCAATCCAAATAACCGCATCCTCGTTTAGGCTACATACGTCATCCATCACACACACACACACACCACACACAGACAATATGGCGGCTTAGTATAGTTCCACCAACTAATCAATAAGTCATAATAGCCTTCCGAGACTCTATTTCAACGATTATTAAGTATTCTATACCTAATTACCAAATAATTTAATACATTTTTTATGTAAAACTTGAATTCCGCCATGTCAAATACAAGATACTTCCATTGGTAAGTTTCTATATTATGCTTGCTCGTCTAAACCTCTTTTAGATTGTTAATTTTCCCCCTAACAACCAATATTTTATTTCCAAAATTCCTAATCAACCAATATAATTATTAACTAATATTAAATTTTCTAATTATCAACTAATATTCATGGAAATGTATGTAATCAATTATTCAAAATTAATTTGTCTCGTACAATAATGCTTCTTCAACTAATTCCTAATAAAGCAAATTATATCTAATTAATTAATTTTGTTTAGAAATTAAAATTTATTCAACTAATAAATTTAAGATTTGGAATTGGATACTGAAAATGAGAAAAAAATAGTATAGGGGCATACCGATTGGGAATCGGGACTACAATTCCACGATCCCGCGCGACAAGGAGAATCAAATTCTGTCTCTTTGGGCCTCGGATCGGAGTGTCGCCGGGTCACCGAAAGCTCCGCCGCGCCGCATGGTGGCCCGGAAAAATTCCCAAACAACCCAGAAAACTTGCAAAGAATTCCAACCACCCGCTCGAAATTTCAATGGGGAACTCAAAAATTAATGCTCAATTTTGTCGAGTCCAAGTGGCCCATTTGGCCGGGAGAAGGCCTCGACAGCATGCGAAGAAGCCACCGATCATCGTGGTTCACGCATTCTCCGTTGGAAACACGGTTTTTAAAACAGAGGGAAAAAATGTTTGCGTGGCACCAGGAAGCAATTTTGCAC